AGCTCTACAGGACGCCACAGGTAAGGGTGCTGGGGGAGTGGACCTTTCCTTCCTCAGTTTGGTTCTCCTGCCACTTAAGTGGAAGAGCAGAGGGACATAGGTACTGCCCATTGCTTCTAAATGGTCAAAAACTGGGACAGGAACAAATCTGCCAGAGACTGCTGTTGCTTCTAGGCCAACCCAAAGTGCCTTCTAGAAATTATGTAGCTCAGATCCTCTCAGACATGCAAACTAGCTATCTGGAATAGGCTGAAGCATAAACATGGTAATCAAATAATTAATTCCACAATCCCTTCATTAAGTTTTTTATTTCATCTTCCATTGAAAATTGCTATATCTAACCATGTGCTGTAGTGTATAGGCATTGCCTTAGTTACTTAGCGCAGTGGTAACAAATACCACAAAGCAATGGTTTTTAAAAATAGATTTTTATTCCTCATACTAGAGACTAGACTCTGAATTCCAGGCACTGAATCTAGAGTGAGGTTATCACTCTGTCAACTCCAGGGGGTAGTATTTGTTTCGCTTCAGCTTTTGTTCCTTGATTCCTTGGCTATCATCACATGGGATCATTTGCCCACATGTGTGTTTGCACATCTCTGTCTGTGCTGGACTTTACAACACTGAGCAGTGACAGGCTTAGGAAAAGGCTTGCAGATTTAGGTTCATTAACATAACAGACAACTAGATTCCTAAAACGGATTGGGTCCAGAGGTGTAAGTGTCAGCACACCCACACATATTATGAGAGAATACAATGTTATCTTTAGTGCACTTTAAAATGCTTTTCATATACTAACACACTCAGCCCCAATCATAAGGAAATGACAATTACGATGATTAGGACAGTTATTAGAAATGTGCAAACTATGATGCACAGTAGTTATCTAACTTGTCTGAGGTCATTCAGCTACACACAATAGAGTCGGAAATTGATCCCAGTACATCTAATTCTGAGTATTGCTTCATATCCACAGGGTTCTGTTCAGCAGTGTAAGGGTGGCTACAGGAGCCCTGTGCATGCAGCTGCTAAGGGTTCAGGCTGCTACCTGAAAGGTCAGCAGTTTCACCTCACTAGCTGCTCCCTGGGAGAAAGACGTTGTCGTCTGTTCCCACAAAGATCCAGCCTAGAAAACCCTGTGGGGCACTCCTGCTCTGTGTTACTCTGAGTCTAAGTTCACTCCCCCACTCACACACCACCTGTGGAGTCCCTGACACTCTGCTTCCAGTGGTCACAGTGATGAAGTCAGTGGAGTGCAGCTCTGCTTTGTACACACAAAATCACTATGAGTCAGCATCGTGTTTAACTACAGGTCTGTTTTTAACTTTGCTTCTGAGAACTCACATGGACTATTTCTCTCTTTTGATTCAGATCTCCTACGGCACTTTTGATCCTTTGTTGAAAACGAAGGACCAGTTTTCCTCTCTCTATCAAATTTCCCTCAATCACAGCTGTCTGGCCTCGGGCCTGGTCTCCTTATTGATCCATTTTGGATGGACATGGGTTAGCATCTTAGTGCCAAATGACAGAAAAGGCGAACAGTTCATTTGGTACCTTAGAAAAGAGATGGCCATCAAAGGTGTGTGTGTGGCACTCGTACTAAAAGTTCCCGTGACCAAGATTATACACAACCCAAGAGATGTGATCTACCTTCCCAGAGTCATGAAATCATCTGCAAATGCATTCATCGTTTATGGTGAGATCAATATATTAGTAACTATGAGATTCATTGATGACTATAATTTAATAACCCACAAGATATGGATCATTACATCCCAGTGGGATTTTACTTTCTTACCACCTGCTTTTTTATTTGACATTTTCCATGGGACTCTTTTCTTTTCACA